TTCTCCTTGCCCCTCTCCCTTCTTCATTCCTGTCCTTGTTTTCTTGGCTTGTTTGCCCTGCCTCTCTCCTGGCCCATCCTCTCTGCTCATTTCCCTTGCTTTCATGGAATTCTGTCAGAGACTCCCAGATCACGGAGTGCAGTCCCTTCTTCACTGGGCAGATGTGGGCGTGGGGGTCCACAGGGGAAGCGCCTCCCCAAGTTTACTCCCAGGTTAGGCAGGGTTGGGGCCAGACCTGAGAACTCTTACTTTAGTGCTGAGATGTTCCCTTCGGCCCTCCTTTCCTGTCCTCTCTGTGTTTTACTATCTCTGCCCCCTTTTCTCTCACCCTAGTGTTCTTTTCCCACTCCTCTGCCCTACTTTCTCCTCCTCCTCCATTGCTGCTCCCTGGAATGTGTGTTCTGTGTTCCATCTTTACACAGGCCCCCTCTGCCACAGGGGAGACAGACAGGCCAGCAAGCACTCTGCTCTCAAAGCCTGCAGTGGGCTTAACCGCCCTCTCTCCTTTCCTGCTTTTCCCTCCTTCCTCTCCCACTCCCTCCGGCCTCTTGCAGGCTTTAGAACAGCAGCTCTCACCTCCATTGTGGTGCTGTCAGTCACTTGTGAGATGTGTCACCAGCACTCCACTACTACCAGTAGTTGAAGTATCAGGGTTTAGGGATGATTGACTTCTGGAGTAACTTCAAAATTACCCTGTGTTCGCCTCGCTCGGTCACTTTCCTTCTGATGTGCACTTCGGAGTCACTGCACCTGACCCAACAAATGCCTGTGGAATATTGTCATGTTTGTGCTGAGGACAGTTGCAGCTTAAAGAGAGTGGGAAGCCCCAAGACATCTTGGGGGCACACTGAGGGATAAACTACCCCCCTTTTCATTGCTTCATTTCAGGGCGTCCCCCTGGATACCAGTAAACTGCCCACTGACCAGCGACTGCCCCCATATACATATAGTCCTCCAAGTCTGGTTCTGCCCACCCAGACACCCACCCCCAAACCTCTGCAGCAGCCAGGAGGGCTGTCCTCTCAGGCCTGCTCAGTGCAGTCTTTAGGCGGGCAGCCGCCAGGCCGGCAGCCACATTATGGGACACTGTACCCACCTGGATCCGCTGGGCACATGCAGCAGCCTTGCCACCGGCCGATGAGTGATTTCAGCCTGAGGAACGTGAGTACTCAGGTCCCGCCTCAGAAGCAGGGGAGGAGCGGGTGGGGGTGGTATCTCTAGTACACTCTAAATTGGGAGACCTAGGTTGTGGGGTCCCCATCCCCCCAGGTGACATAGCATTGCCAGCTTGGGGCTCCTCTCTTCCTGCATTTGACCCCCTACTCCTGCCCCTCTGTTTCTGCTCAGCCTTCTCTTTGATGACCACTGCCTTGACCCGCTCCTGGCATGCGTGCTTTGGCCCAGCAGGTACGGTGCCCACACCTACTTTTGGGCCCCGTGCTCGCTTCTGTTGCTCTGCTTGCTGCCACCTCCCTCTGTCTTTGTCTTTGTCCCTGGGCGGATAGAGATTGATGGGCAAAGGGGATGTGAGCAGGGTCAGGCAGGCGCGGGCAGGAGCACCCGTGCTGAAGCCTGCTTCGTCAAGGTCTGCCTGTGTGTCCACAGCTGGAGCAGTTCAGCATGGAGAGCCCATCAACCAGCCTGGCGCTGGATCCCCCTGGCTTTTCCGAAGGGCCTGGATTTTTAGGGGGTGAGGGGCCAATGAGCGGCTCCCAGGACCCCCATACCCTCAACCACCAGAACCTGACCCACTGTTCCCGCCATGGCTCAGGACCTAACATCATCCTCACGGGTGAGGGGGCAGTGGTGATGCTGGGGGTTGGAAGGAGGGAGTAAAACACCCACTGGGCCGGCGCCGCGGCTCACTAGGCTAATCCTCCGCCTAGCGGCGCCGGCACACCGGGTTCTAGTCCCGGTCGGGGCGCCGGATTCTGTCCCGGTTGCCCCTCTTCCAGGCCAGCCCTCTGCTGTGGCCAGGGAGTGCAGTGGAGGATGGCCCAGGTGCTTGGGCCCTGCACCCCATGGGAGACCAGGAAAAGCACCTGGCTCCTGGCTCCTGCCATCGGATCAGCGCGGTGCGCCGGCCGCAGCGCGCCGGCTGCGGCGGCCATTGGAGGGTGAACCAACGGCAAAGGAAGACCTTTCTCTCTGTCTCTCTCTCTCACTGTCCACTCTGCCTGTCAAAAAAAAAAAAAAAAAAAAAAAAACACCCACTGATGCAGTACAAGACTGACGGGTGTCGAGAGTTTCCGAGGCACGGGGGCCTCACCCACCTTTTCCACCCACAGGAGACTCCTCGCCAGGGTTCTCTAAGGAAATCGCAGCAGCCCTGGCTGGAGTACCTGGCTTTGAGGTGTCGGCAGCTGGGTTGGAGCTGGGGCTGGGGCTAGAAGATGAGCTGCGCATGGAGCCACTGGGCCTGGAAGGTCTAAACATGCTGAGTGACCCCTGCGCCTTGCTGCCTGATCCTGCTGTGGAGGATTCGTTCCGCAGTGACCGGCTGCAGTGAGGGACCTCACCACCATCCTCCTTCTTGGCCCTGCCCCCCATCACTGTCCCTTTCCTCCCTTTCCCCTGGCCAGTAGAGACTCTCTGTCCCCCCAGATCCTCTTTCTAATATGAATGAAGGATCCCAGGAATGAGAAAAGCAAGGGGTTTGTCCGGGTGGCCCCTGAATTCTGCACAGTGGGTGGGCCTAGGGGAGTTCAAGGGAGGGCCTAAAGCACTTGTAACTTTGAACCGTCTGTCTGGAGGTCAGAGCCTGTTGGAAAGCAGGGAGTAGAGGGAGCCCCGGAGGCAGGGCTTGTCCAGTTGCCTAGGGGTGGGCAGTGCCAGCCCCTCCTAACTACTCTTCCCCTTGCAATGGAGGAGAGAGCCAGAATGGATATTATTTTTTATTAAATATTATATGTTAATAAAAAAATTCTTATCAAACGGATGGTGTGGTTGCTACTGTTTGGGGTGTGGCTGGGAATCTAGGGGGCTCTTGGCCACAGGACCTTTTATCTTTTATGCTTTTTGCATCTTCTAAGCACTGTCATGCATTGTGGAGGGTCCCCCCCACCGAATGTGTGCCCTGCAATGGACACCGGGGCCCGAGACAACGGATGTAGGCTTGCTTCTGGGCAGCAGGAAGTCTCACCTCACGTGCCCTCCTGTTTGTCTAGGGCACTGCTACATCAGTGAACAGGGGCTCTTGACTGGCCAGACAAGTTACTCCTCTTCCTCAGCCTGGAGCTTGGCAGTGAGAAGGTAGCTGCTGGCTGAGCTCAGAGGTTTGATGTTTCCGGTAGAATGACCCCAGCTCTCCTGGGGGTAGCTGGTTGGCCTCACTGCTTAGGCTTCCAAGAAGAAGGTATTTAACGAGCCCGCATTCCAGAGTTCCGGAAGGCCTCAGCAGGCTCCCTTTTCTTTGGAGTCCATTAAGCCTGGAGGACTTAGACAAGCCCCTAAAAAAAAAAAAAAAAAAAAAGACAAGCCCCTGACTCCATGCTCCCAGCTCTCAGGGAAGCACTCATTCCTTCCCTCTCACTGTGAATTCCTTGGCCCACTCTAGGTTCATTCATTCAAGTTGTAATTCAGCAGATCCTTGAGTGACAACCATTTCTCAAAAGCTTTCCTCTCTGGATTGGGTTGGCTTTCACCATCTGGGCCTCTGCCCCCCCCCCCCCCTACGATAATAAGAGTAGTGCGCCTCCTCAGTTACTCCCGCCTCCTCTATCCCACACCCTGCAGTCCTAGCCTCTCCTCTTCCTCTTTCCAGAGCTGTCGTCAATTTCAGAAAAGGGAACCGAGATCCTAGCTCTGGCTGGAAGGGAATGCAGTGTGTCATAAACCTGGAAGTAGGAGAAGCCGCAACCTAGGCCTTCAGGGCTTTTACTTTCTCGCCGGAGGCATGCTCCCTACATCCTCTGACTGTAGGACCGTGGGCGGGACGGGAGCCCGCCTCGGACTTCAGGGCCGCCTGGGGTCAGTATCCTGCGGCAGCGTCTGGGTGGTGGGGGAAGCCGCCCGGGTGTGGGGGGCCCTCCCAGCCGCCAGGGGTCGCGCTGCAGGCGGCCGGGCGCTGGGCAGGCGCTTGCCAGGGTCACGGCCGCCGGTCGAGGCGGGGGGGGGTAGGGGTAGCGGCAGCACCCGCGGCCCCGCGGGGGGGGGTGGGGGGAGTGGAGAAAGCGGGGCGCGCGGAGGAGCGCCGGGCCCCCAGCGCCACGGGAGCTGGGAGGACCGTGCGGCCCGAGCTAGCGGCGCGGCAGCGCAGTTCCCGCTTGGCGCAGCGCGGCGGGGACGCTGGGACGGCCGGGATTTCCCTGCACCGCGCCCCGCGCCCCGGTGCCCTCGGCCGCCTCTTCTTCACTCGCCGCCCGGGCGGGAGCGGCGCCCGAGTCGGGCGCGCCATGTCCGGGGCCGGGTAGCCCTGCCGCCCGCCGGCCCGCCAGCCCGCGCTCCGAGCCACCCGCCAGCGGGCCGGCCGGCCGGGCAGTCGCGGGGCAGGCAGGTAGGGGCTGGACCGGGCGGGGCGGCGGGCGGGGAAGCGAGGGAGGGAGGGAGCGCCAGCGGGGCGGGGGGAATCGCCCCCAGCTGTCCTGCAGCGCTGCACATCTGGTTCCGGTTCCTCTCTCCTGGGGAAGTGAAAGTGGAGGGGAGGGCACAAGCCGGAGTTGGCTGGCCGTGCGGGGCCCCTGCACCTCCTGCTCCCGCGGGGGCCCGCGCCGGAGCTCCCCTCCCTCCCGCCAGGGTCACGCGGCGGCCGGCGCTGCTGCCGTCACGTCCTCGGCCGCCGGCGCGCCCGCTTCTCCCTGCCCTCCGCTTCTCCTCCGCCTCCTCCCCCGCGGCGCACCCTTCTGCCCCAACCCGAACTTCCCGCGGCCGCGCATGTGGGCGTTGGATACGGCGTGGCCCCTGTGCCGGTCTCCTTCCCCGGGGAGAGAGGGCTGCCGTCTGCAGGACCGGGCTGGATGAGGGGAGGCCCAAGGTGCGCAGGTCCCATGGATAGGCCCAGCCAGTGGCCTCTGCCTGCTGCCTTGGGCACAGGGCTCCTGGTCGCTGGCCGTTGGTGACGAAGGGGGCTGTGCCCCAGAGTTAAATCAGGAGGCTGACGCTGACTCCTGGCTTCGCTGCTCAGACGTGGAGGCTAAATTTAGATGGGGCTGGGGCTGTGTGTCCAGAGGCCAGGTTAAGGAGAGAGCCAGCCTAGCTAGCTCCATGAGATTTCTTGCTCCTTGCTCCCCCCAGGCCGAGTGGGAGGTTAAGCAGGACTGGGCACCCAGAGCCTCCTCTGCCTTGGCCCGGTCCTTTGGCCTGAGGTTCCGGCCAAGCTGATGCTGTGCTGGCATCTTCAACGGTACCCCCACCGCTGCCATCACACACACCCATAGGCCGACTTCCGCTGAGCGTCTGCTTCCCCTCCACTGTTTCAGGAAGTAACCTCCCTTCCCCTCTGAAGCACTCCTGCAGGCCTCCGGCCAGGCTGCAAGCCACCCACCGGGCTCGTTCCCAGCTGCCGCACCCTGGGTGCCCCCCGGACCCTTGGGTTTCCTACTCCCTGGGGTTGGGCGATGGAGGCAGGTGAGAACACAGTTAGGAAGGACTGTGTGGGCCTGTTCCTGTCTCTGTGCTGGCTTCCTGGCAGAGGATGAGCGATGGGGGCACTATCTCCCACAGCGTCTTTGGACCCAGTGACACACCCAGGGTTCCTGGAGGTGGGAGGCTGTGTTGTTGTTATTGTTGTTGTTTTGGCAACATTGGTGGAGTTAAAACTGGGAAAAAGGACACTTGAGTCCGGTGAGGAGATGTGAAAGTTTGGGTTTTGTGAGCTTTCCCAAGAATCTGTGGGGAAGTGTTGCAGTGGGCTCTTTAAGAACATTAGCTGGATCTTGAGGTTCTTTTGATGTCGTCACTAGCGTGGAAGGTCAGGAGTCCTTAAAAAGCCTGGCCGGTTGGTATGATGTCATGGTCAGGGTGAATGATGTCATTGCAGAAAAGACTGTTACCTCTGTGCTACTGTAACTGTACGTGTAGGGAATGAGCAGGGGGAGAGCCTTTAAAAGGGATATACTAGCAATGTCAGAGCCCAGGTGAGCTGTGTGGGGTGGAGTGGAGTCTGGGGTCCTTGGGAACAGGAGCTGGTACCACGAGATCAGAGGCAGCTTGTCTCTTTAAGGAGCTGCGGTGGGCAGTGAGAGCCTAGTGATGTCATAGGCGGGAGAGTCCTGGATTGGCTGACTGCTTATCCTGCCTTTCCTGGGTAGGGAGGAAGAGGGGAGCAAGAAGGGTACTCTGGTTGCCATGGCAACACCAGCCTCCTTTGCTTCATCTGTCTCCCGCTTGACCATTCCAGATGCAGTGAGTGAGGGGGGGGCCATGGCAGAGGAGCGGCCCCCCCGGCTGGTGGATTACTTCGTGGTAGCTGGGCTCGCAGGGAACGGAGCACCCATCCCCGAGGAAGCACGGGTTCCTGAACCCAGCGGTCCCCTGCGCCCTCCCCGGCCTGCTGAGCCCATCACAGATGTGGCAGTCATCGCTAGGGCCCTGGGCGAGGAGGTGCCCCAGGGCTACACCTGCATCCAGACTTCTGCTGGAGGCCACCCCTTGGAACTCAGTGCCGGGCTCCTGGGTGGAACTCAGCCCGTCATCTGCTACCGCAGGGGCCGTGACAAGCCCCCCCTCGTTGAGCTGGGGTGTGTGCCCCTGCCCATGCTGGCACCAGGGGAGGTTGGGAGGGATCTGGGGTGAGACAGGGAGAGGTAGGGGTGTGGGGTTGGGAGCGGGCCACGGGAATGGGAGCAGAACAGCGCGGAGGCTGGGGGTGTGGGGCTGACGTCTGCGCTTACAGTCCTTGCCCAAGTTTGGGTTCAGGTGCTCATGCCCCTGCTTGCCCACCCTGCTGTTGGGCGGGGTCTTGAGCCCCTCTCGGCCCGTTCCTCCATCTGTAGAAAGACCTTCTTGTAGGGTGTTGAGAAGCGGCAAGGAAATAACTCATGTGAGGGACTCAGCACAGAGCCAGTCAATGGTAGTCTGTTTTTTTTTTTTTTTTAATTTTATTTATTTATTTGAGAGGTAGAGTTACAAACAGTGAGAGGGAGAGAGAGAGAGGTCTTCCTTCCGTTGGTTCACTTCCCAGATGGCCGCAATGGCCAGAGCTGCGCCAATCCAAAGCCAGGAGCCAGGAGCTTCTTCTGGGTCTCCCACATGGGTTCAGGGGCCCAAGGACTTGGGCTATCTTCCACTGCTTTCCCAGGCCATAGCAGAGAGCGTTATTGGAAGAGGAGCAGCCAGGACTTGAACCGGCGCCCATATGGGATGCCGGTGCCGCAAGTGGAGGATTAACCTGTGCCACGGCGCCGGCCCCTCTTTTTTTTTTTTTTTAAAGATCTATTTATTTATTTATTTGAAGGCAGAGTTAGAGAGAGGCAGAGGCAGAGAGAAAGAGAGCAACAGAGGTCTTCCATCCTCTGGTTCACTCCCCAGATGGCTGCCATGGCCATCCGAAGCCAGGAGCCAGGAGCTTCTTCCAGGTCTCCCACATGGGCGCAGGGGCCCAAGGACTTGGGCCATCTTCTGCTGCTTTCCCAGGCCATAGTAGAGAGCTGAATCTGAAGTGGAGCAGCCGGGACTCAAACAGGCACCCATATAGGATGCTGGCACTGCAGGCAACAGCTTTACCTGATCTGCCACATTGCAGGCCCCTGTCTGTTTCATTCTTAGTGTTTATTCATGAGTTTCGGTGCCATAGATGGCATGTAGGGTTGCTGGCTAACCAAGAAGCAGAGCGGAGGGCTAGAAGGGAGGTGGGCAGTGAATCTGCAGGGGGCTGCCAGGCTTCAGGGACCAGGAAGGCAGACGTGGCAGGGCTGGGGTCTTCCTTCTCCACCCTGACCTCGACATCTCTCTCTCTGCCCCTGTGCCAAGGGTGTTGTATGAGGGGAAGGAACGGCCCAAGCCTGGCTTCCAAGTGCTGGACACAACACCCTACAGCCACTCAGCCAACCTGGCCCCTCCAGGCCCCGGGCACCCCCGCACCTACCTCACTTACCGGCGGGCAGCAGAGGGGGCAGGGCTGCACGCCCTGGGCATCACTGACCTCTGTCTGGTGCTGCCCAGCAAGGGTGAGGGCACTCCCCACACGTACTGCCGGCTGCCACGCAACCTCAACCCTGGCATGGTGAGTGGGGCTGGGGTTCTGGGCGCTGAGACCTGGGCTGGTTCAGTTTGAGAGTATGACAGCAGGGCCAGGTCGGAGCGGGCACCGGGATTGCTGGGAGCTTGAAGACTTAGGGGTGGTGGGGAGGAAAGGGACTTGAGAAACCTCTGTCGGCTGAGCATCTGCCTGTCTTTTGCCATTTCCGGGGCAGTGGGGCCCAGCGGTGTATCTGTGCTACAAGGTGGGCCTAGCCAAGGGCAACACGTTGGTGTACGAGGCAGGTGAGTGGCCCCTTGGTCCCTCTAACCCTTTGCTCCTCTGTGCCCCTTTGCCCTGGTCCCTCGTGACTGGCACCTTTGGTGTCCCCAGAATTCACTTCCCTGTTGCCACCTGGCCCTTCTCTGGCAAATCCTGGTTCCTTCCCCCTGGAGTCTGATGGACTCCCCTCCTTTTGGGTACCCCTCCCACTCTGCCGGGGGTGCAGAGCTGTTGGGCCGCTACCCGGAGGAGGACAACGAGGCGTTCCCGCTGCCCGAGTCCGTGCCAGTCTTCTGCCTGCCCATGGGTGCCACTATCGAGTGCTGGCCTGCCCAGACCAAGTACCCCGTGCCCGTCTTCTCCACCTTCGTGCTCACGGGTGCCGCTGGTGATAAGGTGGGTGTGTGGAGCGTGGTCAGGGGTCAGGCCACGCGGGGCCCGCCTGACCGTCCCTCTGTTTCCCCCACCCCCTTCCCTCCTCCGCCAGGTGTATGGTGCCGCCCTGCAGTTCTATGAGGCGTTCCCGAGGGCCAGGCTGTCGGAGCGGCAGGCACGGGCGCTGGGCCTGCTGAGTGCCGTGGAGCGGGGCCGGGCGCTGGGCGGCCGAGCTGTACGCAGCCGGCGAGCCATCGCCGTGCTGTCCCGCTGGCCCGCCTTCCCTGCATTTCGCGCCTTCCTCACCTTCCTCTACCGCTACTCCGTCTCAGGCCCCCACCGCCTGCCCTTGGAAGCGTGAGCACGGGTCCCCTGATACTGGGGAGTCCAGAGGGGATAGGGAGGCCGGAAGAGATGGGTGGGATTAGGGCAGAGGCGGGAGGTGGGCTGCAGTGTATGTGGCTGGGCAATTGGTCCGCGGGGAGAAATGTCGCCAGCGAGGGGGTGAGTGGGGCCTGAAGTCTGGTGTCCCCTTGCTGGCTGGCTCCCAGCAAGGGGCTGTGCCTGTCCCGGGGAGACCTTTCCTCTGATTGCCAGAGGCTCTGCCGGGGTTCAGGGAAGAAGGAGCTTCCTGAGAACATGTGGAGGCAGGACAGGGACGGGCCACAGAGCCGGCCTCTCACCCGTTTCCCTCTCTTCCCCAGGCACATCTCGCACTTCATTCACAACGTCCCCTTCCCCTCCCCACAGAGACCCCGCATCCTAGTGCAGGTGAGCGCAGAGCCTGGGGCTGGGCTGGGTGGAAGGAAGGGCAGCGTGGCAGGGGCTGGCCAGCGCCCCCCTGACCTGTGGCTCTCTGCCCTCCCAGATGTCTCCCTACGACAACCTGCTCCTCTGTCAACCTGTGTCTTCACCCCTGCCCCTCAGGTGTGTGCCCAGGTGCTGGGGGAGGTGGGGGAGGGGAAGTGCAGTTGTTGAGGCCTATGCAGGTTGGGTCCGGGTGGGGTCCGTGCCCAGTGACTGGGGAGGGGTCTCCAGAGTCTCCTGCTGACCCCTTCTGCACCTCCGCATTGCCCGCAGCGGTGCCAGCTTCCTGCAGCTGCTGCAGAGCCTGGGCCCTGAGCTGGCTGTCACACTGCTGCTGGCCGTGCTCACGGAGCACAAACTGCTGGTGCACTCGCTGCGGCCAGACCTGCTCACCAGTGTCTGTGAGGCCCTTGTCTCGGTGAGTGCCACCCTGTCCCAGCCGCCTTCCCTGGAACCACTGCCCCTTGCCCTTAACTTTTCATTTCCTGGGGAGGCTCCTCAGTCCCTCCCCCTGCGGATGACCTCCAGGGACACACAACTTCTCACAGAGACTCTCTGGCCTCCACTTCCAGCCAGCGGCCTCTTGCCAAAGGTGCCCCCTCCCCAAGCCAGTGCCCTCTGCTGCTGCCCCGCCCCCGGCTCCCCGACCCCACCCTCTGGTTTCTGCAGATGATCTTTCCGCTGCACTGGCAGTGCCCCTACATTCCGCTGTGCCCCCTGGTGCTGGCAGACGTGCTGAGCGCCCCTGTGCCCTTCATCGTGGGCATCCACTCCAGCTACTTTGATCTGCATGACCCCCCGGCCGACGTCATCTGTGTCGACCTTGACACCAACACGCTCTTCCAGTAAGACACTGGGTCTCCTCTGGGGTCTGCGGGTGGTGGGTGGGAGAGGGCTGGCATGTGGCGTGTTGCTGGCTCCAAGGGGGCCTCGGGCACACGTGGAGCCCTGTCACCCTTCCCCTATGGGTTCCTCTCACAGGACCGAGGAAAAGAAGCCCCTCTCCCCTCGGACCCTGCCTCGCAGACCCTACAAGGTTCTGCTGGCCACTCTGACTAACCTGTACCAGCAGCTGGACCAGAGTGAGAAGCCTGGGTGGGGTGGGGGTGGGAGGCCTGTGGGCTGCTGGGTGTTCCCTGGGGAGGTTGGAGACAGCATTGAGGGGGATTTGAGAAAGGGCAGATCATAGTCCTGGCCTGCAGGACAGCTGAGCTTGAAGCTGTCAGCCAAAGGTAATTTTGTAGCGGCAGCTGGCTGCACAGAGGTGGGTTGGGGTGGAGGACTCCCATGTGGAGCGCAGGGTTGACACAAGCACTGTGGGTGTGGGCCCTGACCCTCCGGCCCACTGGTCCCCAGCATACACTGGACCCGAGCAGGAGGCCTCCCTGGAATTCCTGCTGACCGACTACGAGGCAGTGTGCGGCCGCCGGGCCCGGCTGGAGCGAGAGGTCCAGGGTGCCTTCCTCCGCTTCATGGCCTGCCTGCTCAAGGGCTACCGGGAATTCCTGCGCCCACTCACCCAGGCCCCCTCGGAGGGCGCTCGCGACGTGGACAACCTTTTCCACCTTCAGGGTAAAGAGGGCCTGCATCTGCTTGGAGACTGCATCATGGGAGGGGGCGGCTGGCGGGGGCAGGTGGCCCTGGAAACCACTCTGGCTGCTTGCTCCTGCACTCTGCGAGTGGTTTTCCAGGCACCTGCCTTGAGTTGTCTGCTCTTCTACTCTTGGAGTCAGGGTGCACAGAGGAGCCAGATGTGGCGCTGCCCTCTGGAGCCCTGGGCGTGGGGCAGACGGAGTGTGGCTCCTGTGGCGGGCAGCTCCCTTAGGCCAAGCTCTGTTTAGGGACCCACCTTGGGAGAACCCCCTGTCTGAGACAATGAGTTCAGACGAAAGGGTGGGATTTCCATGGGACCATGGCACTGGGGGAGCTAGGCTGGCTGGCTCGGTCGGTGGGGTGGTTATGCCAGAGGGGTCGGGGATCCTGAGTGGGTTGGGAGCCACTAGGGGGTGTGGGGAAGGTGTGGCTGTGGTAGAGAGCCCTGGTGGCCTCCTCCTCTGCCTCACTGTCATCACCCCCAGGCTTCCTGAAGTCCCGCGAGCGCTCTAGCCACAAGCTGTACTCCCAGCTGCTGCACACACAGATGTTCTCCCAGTTCATTGAGGAGTGCTCTTTCGGCTCTGCTCGGCATGCTGCCTTGGAATTCTTTGACTCCTGCGTCGACAAGGTACTCTGGGCACTGTTCCTCTGTGTACCTGTAGGTCTGCTTCCCTCCTGGTTGTCTCCGTTGCCCCCAGGCCACTGTCAACGCGATTTTGTATCTCAGATGTGAGTAGGATAGTGCCCCTGGAGTTACACAGTGCGCAGCCTGTGGACCCTGCCAGGGCTGGCTTCACATCCGTAGTAGCCCACTCCTTCGCAGGGGATGTGCTTCACGGGGGTGGGAGACATCTTCTGGCTCTGCCCCACGTCCACAGTATTTTTTGTTTTTTTGATTGATTGATTGATTTCAAAGGCAGAGCTATAGAGAGGCAGAGGTAGAGGGGCAGAGAGAAAGATCTACCATTAGCTGGTTCACTTGCCAAATGACCGCAATGGCCAAAGCCAGGCTGATATGGAGCCAGAAGCCAGGAACTGCTTCTGGGTCTCCCATACAGGTACGGGAGCCCAAGGACGTGGGCCATCTTCTGCTTTCCCAGGCCATAGCAGGGAGGTGGATCGGAGGTGGAGCAGCTGGGTCTCGAACTGGCGCCCATATGGGATGCCAGCACTGCAGGTGGCACTGCAGGTGGCGGCTTCACCTGCTGCGCCACAGCACTATCCCCATATCCACTGTCTTAATGTTCATTGTCGTGTCCTCCTGCCACAGGTCCACGCCGAGCAGGAAAGGCCTGAGCCCACTCCGTTGGTGGAGCTGGAAGAGTTGTCGGGAAGTGAGCTCACCGTCTTCATCACGCCTCCCGAGGAGCCCCCGGTCCCAGACAGCAGCGAACCCATTCCCCAGTTCTGGTGAGAGCCTCTCCTATGCTTCCGTGTCCCCGGGCCCCGCACGCTGCTCCAGCCCAGCCTGCCTGGCCCTGTGCTGACTGTGATGTCTCTGTCTGCCCTACCAGTTACGATGGGTTCCCAGAACTACGGGCTGAGCTGTTTGAATCTCCCCAAGAGCAACCTGGGGCACTGCCTGTGCCGGGCACCTCCCGGAGTGCCCCCAGCAGTCCTGCCCCTCGCAGAACCAAACAGGTAGCCAACAGGTGGGCCCCACCCAGGGACCTGGCTCAGGTCAAGGGCTGCTGCAACAGTTTCTTCATCTGTAAAGTGGGAACATCAGTAGTACTTACCCCACAGGGATAGGAGGAGGTTTGAAGGCTCCTGGTGTATAGAAAAGCACTATATGAGCATTAGCTGTTGTCTGCGTGGTCACCATCATCATTAGCATCTTCTTCCTGAGCACTGTGGGATCCAGGGGCTGGCTGCCTTGTCTGTCTCTCCAGGCAGGGTCACACCTGTGCAATGCAGGCTCCCTCCTGCCTCCTCGGAGCACAGGGATGCTCCTCAGCCTGTTTTCAGACCTGCCCTGGCATCGTACTTACTCTGGTGTGTCCCTTGCCCCACCTAGGAGATGAAGGTTGCACAGCGGATGGCACAGAAGTCAGCGACCGTGCCTGAGCTGTGGGCCCGGTGCCTGCTGGGGCACTGCTACGGGCTGTGGTTCCTGTGCCTGCCTGCCTACGTACGATCGGCACCCTCCCGGGTACGGGCACTGCACACGGCCTACCAAGTGCTACGCCAGATGGAGAGCCGCAAAGTGGTGCTCCCCGACGAGGTAGGCAGCCACTTACCTGTGTGCCCACGCTCATACCAGTCCCAATGAGGCTTGTGCAGCTTGGGGTCTATGAGAAGGAGCCTTGGTGGGGCCAGGGCAAGCAGATAGGGGGCCCTGTAGCTGGGCAGATGCCCCATGGGTATTTACTGAGTGAATGAGCGTATTCAGGGCGTAGAGTGGAGACTGCTGGGTGGTAGGTGTTGGGGATGGTTGGGGGCAGAGTCTGCAGGAAGGAGTTAAGGAGTTGCCTGGGGACAGCAAGGTCCCTGGTCCCTGGTCCCTGAGAACTGGGGGAGCGGGAAGAGGGTGCTTACTGAGCCTTGAAGATTTCGGTCGGGAGTGGGTCTCCCAGCACACTGTGCGTGTCCTGGCCCAGGTGTGTTACCGGGTGCTGATGCAGCTCTGCTCACACTATGGGCAGCCTGTGCTGTCTGTGCGGGTCATGCTGGAGATGCGGCGGGCGGGCATTGTGCCCAACACCATCACCTATGGCTACTACAACAAGGTACCCAGCTGGGGGCAGGGGTGGGGCAGCAGCCTGCACTGGGGTGTGCTCACAGTGCGGAGTGGGGAGGGGTGCTGCTCCTTGGAGGTTAAGCCTGGAGGGTCAAGCCAGGTCCCACAGCCGCTGGCATCCGTTGTGCTCCTACGTGCTCCGTAGCGCCTCCACACGGTTCCTTCCCATTTGACTGCCTTGATTCTCACACTCAACAGCCCTGGCTACAGCGGAGTGTCAGCTAGCATGCAGGCACTCTTCCAGACACATTAGTCATGTTCGATCAGTTTCTCTTCACAGCAGCCCCATGGGGTGGGATGATCATCCCCCGCTTACTCTGTCCGGGGAGATGAGGTTGCGGGGTCAGTGTATCTTAGGGAGTCAGACTCCGTGCACGGTTGCGGGGTCAGTGTATCTTAGGGAGTCAGACTCCGTGCACGGTTGCGGGGTCAGTGTATCTTAGGGAGTCAGACTCCGTGCACGGTTGCGGGGTCAGTGTATCTTAGGGAGTCAGACTCCGTGCACGGTTGCGGGGTCAGTGTATCTTAGGGAGTCAGACTCCGTGCACGGTTGCGGGGTCAGTGTATCTTAGGGAGTCAGACTCCGTGCACGGTTGCGGGGTCAGTGTATCTTAGGGAGTCAGACTCCGTGCACGGTTGCGGGGTCAGTGTATCTTAGGGAGTCAGACTCCGTGCACGGTTGCGGGGTCAGTGTATCTTAGGGAGTCAGACTCCGTGCACGGTTGCGGGGTCAGTGTATCTTAGGGAGTCAGACTCCGTGCACGGTTGCGGGGTCAGTGTATCTTAGGGAGTCAGACTCCGTGCACGGTTGCGGGGTCAGTGTATCTTAGGGAGTCAGACTCCGGACGCAGGGGCAGCCACCTTTCCTTTCCTGAAGTCTGGCGCTCACCCCTGCACTCAGCTGCCTCTTGTTTTTCAGCCGAGGAAACTAAGGAGCAGAACAATGGAATTTTCCCACAGCCATATAGTTTATAAGTAGCAGAGTCTGGATACAAATTTTCTTCGTCATTCCTGGCTTCTGCTAGGCGGGCTCAGAGGCAGCTGCTCTTCTGAGCTCTTGTTGCTGGCTGAGCTACTGGCCGGGACAGTCAGCCCTAGGCAGGATGTCTGAAGGGGAAGGTGGCTCTAGGGGCCCTGGGACCAGAGGTGGGTGTCAGGGCGTCCAAGTAGGCCATCCTGATGGGCACTGTGCTTGGCAGGCTGTGCTGGAAAGCAAGTGGCCGTCGGGCACACCGGGTGGGCGCCTGCGCTGGGCCAAGCTCCGGAATGTTGTCCTGGGAGCTGCTCAGTTCCGCCAACCCCTGAAAGAGCGGCGGCGGCAGCAGCAGCAGCAGCAGCAGCAGCCGGCAGCACAGCAAGAGGCAGGCAGCTCCCAGACAGGTGGGTGGGGACAGGTCCCGCAGGCTCTGGCTGGAGCTGCCAGGCTCCGGAAGGGAGGCACGGAGTGCTGGGGCCAGCCTCCAGGTAGGCGGCTGGGCTCCCGCAGGAGGATAGCTACACGTGGCTGGTAGCACAACCAGTCGAGTTCTGCCTGGGGGGAACCCAGGCCCAGCCAGGGGGCTGTGTTGTGGAGCAGGGGGCTGGATGTCCAGGTGACTGCCACCAGACCCCATCCCTGTCTTTTACAGAGCCCTGTCTGGAGCGCCCCTCCCCTACCCGCCCACTCCAGCGCCAGACTACCTGGGCTGGGCGAAGTCTGAGGGACCCAGCCTCCCCTGCGGGGCGCCTGGTGAAGAGCGGGAGCCTGGGCAGTGCCCGAGGCGCACAGCCCACTGTGGAGGCCGGTGTGGCCCACAGTGAGTGCCCTCATCTGCCCTCCCCCTCCCCCCAGCCAGCTTTCCCAACCACCTGCCCGTGTGGAGGGGTGGCCGGGGCGGTGGCTGCTGGAGACGGAGGCAGTGCAGCCCGAGCGTTGTCAGGGTGCGGGCTTTGGTGGCTGAGTTTGTGCGACCAAGGCCTGGGTCTTCACGGGAAGGGGCAGCTGGAGGAGCACTGGGCATAGCTTCCTGGATTCTTTTTTGTTCTGCAGTGATAGAGGCCTTGGGGGTGCTGGAACCCCGCGGCTCACCTGTGCCCTGGCATGATGGAAGTCTCTCAGACCTGAGCCTTACCGGGGAGGAGCTGGCACCTGGGGGCAGCCCAGGGGGTTCAGGCCCTGCCTTGAGTGCCCAGTCCACTGAGGCCCTGGAAGGGCTAAGTGGCCGCGGGCCCAAGGCTGCTGGGCATCAGGAGGAGGCGGGCACCCCCCGACGAGGGCTGGGTGCTCGCCTTCAGCAGCTGCTCACCCCCTCCCGCCGCTCCCCTGCCTCCCGCATTCCCCCACCTGAGCTGCCCGCTGACCTGCCACCCCCAGCCCGCCGCAGCCCCATGGACAGCCTCCTGCACCCCCGGGAGCGCCCTGGATCCACTGCGTCCGAGGTAGCCAGCCAGGGGAGCTCCGGATGCCTGGGCACTGGGAGGCCCGGGGAGGGCCGCCACCTGGGAGAATGCCCCGGAAGGATGCCCTGAGCAGTGGCTGAGGTCAGCCTCCTGGGTGAAGAGGAACACGGGGTTGCCGACCACGCTTTCTCGTATAATGGCAGAGCTCGGCCTCTCTGGGCAGTGAGTGGGACCTCTCAGAATCTTCTCTCAGCAGCCTGAGCCTCCGCCGTTCCTCAGAGCGCCTCAGTGACACCCCTGGGTCCTCCCAGCCACCTTCCCTGGAAGTGAGGAACCCCTCCCACCCAGATGTGCGGGGACACAGAGGCGGGGTGGGGAGGAGGTGGCAGGAGCCTGCGCTGGGCTTTGCAGGGGGAGCAGCGCTCCAACAGGGCCTGCTTCCCGGGCGGGGTCTCCTCTCCCACAGATTCTGCTGTCCAGCTGCTCCCTGTGCCGTGCCTGTGATTCGCTGGTGTACGATGAGGAGATCATGGCCGGCTGGGCACCGGACGACTCTAACCTCAACACAACCTGCCCCTTCTGCGCCTGTCCCTTCGTGCCCCTGCTCAGCGTCCAGACCCTTGATTCCCGACCCAGGTGTCCACAGCAGGGCAAGTGCTGCGGGTGGGACAGGGAGGCGGAGGTCCCAGAGCTTACCCCTCCTGCTGTCCCCCCGCAGTGCCCCCAGCCCCAAGCCGACCCCTGCTGGTGCCAGTGGCAGCAGAGATGCTCCCGTCCCTGGGGGTCCTGGCCCCGTGCTCAGTGACCGTAGGCTCTGCCTCGCCCTGGACGAGCCCCAGCTCTGCAACGGGCACATGGGGGTAAGGGCTGGGTCAGAGGCACGGGAGGACGGCAGGGAGTGTGTGGCCCTGTCATGGTGCTGGTGGTGGGGAAATGGACGTGCAAGGGGAGGGGGGCGGCGTGCCAGGGTGACAGCTCACCGGGAGGCAGGCTCTGGGGAGGGAGCTGTGGCACAGTGCTCCACTGTCCTCCCACGTTGTGCCGGGCAGGGTACCTCCCGGCGAGTGGAGAGTGGCGCGTGGGCATACCTGAGCCCCCTGGTGCTGCGTAAGGAGCTGGAGTCGCTGGTAGAGAACGAGGGCAGTGAAGTGCTGGCGTTGCCTGAGCTGCCTGCTGCCCACCCTATCATCTTCTGGAACCTTCTGTGGTATTTCCAACGGCTGGGCCTGCCTAGTATTCTGCCGGGCCTGGTGCTGGCCTCCTGTGATGGGCCCCCAGCCCCTCAGGTCAGTGCCCCCCACGTGGCTTCTGCATCCTGAGTGCCTCCCTCCTCATCTCCCAGCTCTGTACCCTCCTAGCCCTCTGCACTGTCCTTGGCCTCGCAGAAGGAGCTCAGGCTCTGCCGTGTGCTGTGCTTGGTCTGGCTGCTCCCCTCTGCCCTCACCACCCTGAGCCTCACTTCCAGGGCTGTGGTGCAGATTCCCTGTGAGTGCTAGGGCCTAGAAAAGGATTCAGTAATGTCGGTCTGCTCACTCCACTGACAGTCACTGATACAGCACCTGTGGGGTTCCAGGCCCGGGGAGAAACAGCAGCACGGCCTTGTTTACCCCTGTGAATAGGAGGTCCATTACAGAACAGTCTTGCTCCCAAGAGCCCACGTCCTTGTCAGGGAAAGGGTTCCTTGCCCTCCTGTCCTTGGGCTTTGTCCTGTAATGCCCCTCTGTCTCCTTGGACATCACCTGTCACTTCTTGTCCTCTCATTCCGTGAGCCTAACTCTCTTCTCTATTTCTGCTCCCCCAGGCCCCACCTCCTTGGCTAACCTCTGATCCAGCCTCTGTGCAGGTGCGGCTGCTGTGGGATATCCTGACCCCTGATCCCAATAGCTGTCCACCTCTCTATGTGCTCTGGAGGGTTCACAGTGAGTCTGGTACTGGACTAGGGTGGGAGAGGGACGTCCCATTCCCAGAGGGCTCAGTGATCCTGGTGGCCTTCCTTCCTTCCTTCTACCCAGGCCAGATCCCCCAGAGGGTTATGTGGCCAGGCCCAGTACCCGCCTCCCTTAGTTTGGCGTTGTTGGAGTCAGTGCTGCGCCACGTTGGACTCAATGAGGTGCATAAGGCTGTGGGGCTCCTGCTGGAAACTCTGGGGCCCCCTCCCACTGGCCTGCACCTGCAGAGGTACAGTATTCCTATCTGGGTGTCGCTGGACTGTTCTGGGCTGCATAACCCCATTCTCTGACCCATGCCCTTCTACCTCCACTCCAGGGGCATCTACCGTGAGATCTTATTCCTGACAATGGCTGCTCTGGGCAAGGACCACGTGGACATAGGTGAGGGGCAGGCAGGGGCCAAGGAGTTCAGGGAGCTGGGGGTCGGGTGTGGAAGGCAGGGATCCTAACGCACTGATTCACACCCTCTTCCCCAGGGGCCTTCGACAAGAAGTACAAGTCCGCCTTTAACAAGCTGGCCAGCAGCATGGGCAAGGAGGAGCTGAGGCAGCGGCGGGCACAGATGCCTACGCCCAAGGCCATTGACTGCCGGAAATGTTTTGGAGCACCCCTGGAATGCTAGGGTCCCTGAAGCTGCCCTCTCCAGCCCCAGGCGGGGTGGTGAGAGAGCAAGGACTCTAGAGCTAAGCTGCTTCCCCGCTCCCTTCACAGAGGAGTTGGGAACAGGCCACGGAGCCTGTTCAGCCACAGGCTCCGAGAGGAGGCAGCAGAGAGGGGGACCCGCTGTTAGCAAAAGGCACAGTTCCTCCATCTCCAGCCTGCCCAGTTTGTTCATGCTGATGTTGCGGGAGGCCTGGGGGAGCTGGTACAGCTCTGTTCCTCCCCTGTCCTCCACCAGGCACTCCCTCCCAGGGCACACACAGATCTGCACTGCCCTGGTCATCATAGAAGTTTTTGTTTTAAAAAACAACTGGAAAGATACAGAGCTCCCGAGCCTTTGCCCTGAATGGGAGGGGGGAGGGGGTCTCATTCCCCACCGATGGTGGGCCCTCTCCCCTGGCGTGGTCGAAGGAGCCCAAGGCTCTCCGTGCTTTTCTACCTTAGTGTTTGTATTTTATTTTAAGTTATTTATTCAGGAGCCACAGCCCCCTTGCTTAATGAGGTTCTTATGGAGAGCAGGGGAGAGAAGAGAAATGGGGCACCATGGTCCACGGGTTTGTAGCTCCTTAACAGGCAGCGGGAGAGCCCCTTACGAAGTACTGGTACCCTCTCCAGTCCTAAGCCTCCGTGTCCACTCCGCCTTGGGAAATGCCTCCCCGACCTGGGGCCCTGGCCTGTGCAATAAGGCTCATTCCCTGCAAAGTTTGGATGTAAATATAGTAAAAGCTGCTTCTGTCTTTTTCCTTCTGCCTCCTGTTCCCTGAGTCTGCGGTAGGGGTGGGTACACCTGTTGTTTCCCCCTGTCTACGCATCCTCCCTTCCATCCCGGCACCCTTTGCAGGCATCAGGTGGTCCCTGCTTTCCTGGCTGCGTCTGGTCCTGGCCCCTTAGGGAGTTCTCGGAGCACCAGGGGGTGAAGCTGGTGCTGCCTATAGCAGTGCCAGTCAGTGTGGCACTTCCGGCCCTCCCACACAATCACCCCCTTGTCCCTCATCTGTACCCCACACAAAGGCTCCTTTCTCTTGGGACCCTGAGCTCATCTTTGCCTTATTTCCTCCCCCCAATCCCAACCCCCCCCCCCAACTTCTCCAGGACCTTCAGGGGATGACGACCCTCTCCTTGGGAGTGACTGGTGGGCAGCGCTAATGTGTCCTGAGGGGCTTGGCAGTCACCCTAGGCCTCCCTGGTTGTTCTGGATACAGGCAGTGCTCCTCCAACCAGGGTCTCAGTGAGGGGTTGAAAGGGGCTGGAATGAGGTGCTGGCTGCACATGGACATCAGGGAGATGGGCATCCTTTTTCTCATCCCTCGGCTACCCTGGAGTTCTCCCCTCCCCCCTTTTTTTCCCTGTATAACGAAATAAACACAGGAAACAACTCCTAACGGAGCTGCAAAACCAATGATCAGTGGGAATTAGTGACAAAGAAATGCCTTGGGGAAGGAGGGCGGGAGTATCAGTGAAGATGTAACTTACCCACATTTTTGGTGCAGATTCCTGGTAGAGGAGACAAGTGCCTGGAGAGAGAGGTCCCACTTCTGACTGCTGGGACCGTCAAGCCAGAGTCCCCTCTCCATTGTGATGCTTTCCCAGTATCCTGGAGGACCAGCACAGGAGAGAGCCAGGGGCTTAGGAAACTCCATCTGTCTTATTAGGAGACATCCTCTTCAGAGGCAGCCCTCAGGCCACCCCCGTTTGTGGTCAGACCCCACTCCCTGGAATCGACCTCTCCTATTTCATCCCCAACCACCTTCTGCAAGGGAGGACCTGCCCTCTCCTAAGACTGTAAGTTTCTGTGGAATGGAGTGTGCTCAGCTCTGCCCCAAACTATAGAGAGAACATTTTAGGGTTCAGTCCCTCCCCAGTAGATCATACAATCCCACCGTTCTATACATCTCGCTTGGTTCACAAACAATGATCACTCACTCTGCCTCTTAGCTTCTGCTTCTCATTTTTGGGCTTCCTTCATCTGAAAGGCAGAGTTACAGTGAGGCATGGGCAGAGAGAGAGAGAGAGATCTTCCATCTGCTGGCTCACTCTCCAGACAGCCGCAACGGCTGGAGCTGAGCTGATTTGAAGCCAGGAGCCAAGAGCTTCTTCCAGGTCTCCCACATGTGTGCAAGGGTCCAAGGATTTGGGCCATCTTCTACTGCTTTCCCAGGCCATAGCAGAGAGCTGGATCAGAAGTAGAGCAGCCAGAACTTGAACCGGCACCTATGTAGGATGCAGTAGGATGCAGGCACTGCAGGCTGCAGCTTTACCAGCTATACCACTGCCCTGGCCCGGCACCCTTTTTTTTTTTTTTTTTAAGATTTATTTTATTTATTTGATAGTCAAAATTACAGAAAGAGGCAGAGAAATAGAGAGATCTCCCATCCACTGGTTCACTCCCCAAATGGCTGCAATGGCTGGAGCTGGGCTGATCCAAAGCCAGGAGCCAGGAGCTTCTTCCTGGTCTCCCATGTGAGTGCAGAGGCCCAAGGAGTTGGGCCATCTTCTACTACTTTCCCAAGCCATAGCAGAGAGCTGGATTGGAAGTGCTATAGCTGGGACTTGAACTGGTGTCCATATGGGATATCGGCACTGTAGGCCAAGGCTTAGCCTACTATGCCATAGCGCCAGACCCTCTTTCTTTTTTCCTTGTTTCTTTTAAAAATCTATTTGAAAGGTAGAGTGACAGAGATAAAGAAAAAAATGGGAGATCTTCCAACAGCTGGTTCACTCCCCAAATGGCTGCAATGGCTAGGGCTGGGTCAGGTTGAAGCTAGGAGCCAGGAGCTTCTTCTTGGTCTCCCATGAGGGTACAAGGGCCCAAGCACTTGGGCCATCCTTTGCTGCTTTCCCGGGCGCATTAACAGAGCTGAATGGGAAATGGAGTAGCCATGACTTGAACCAGCACCCATATGGAATGCAGGTGCTGCAGGTGGCAGCTTAACTTGTTATGCCACAATGCCAGCCCTAAGAATTCTTTAACCAGAAGAATATCCAAGAATTCCAATAGCAACGTGCTTACTGTGACATCTTATTTATTTGAAAGGCAGAGAGACAAACACTCATTTACAGAGATTTTTCATCTACTGGTACACTCCCCAAATGCCTGCATCAGCTGGAGCCAGACCAGGCTGAAGCTAGGAGCTGGGAGCTGTGGGCATCAGGGTCCTGAGCACTCAGGTCAACTGCTGCTGAAATCAAATGGCACCAGGCCCTGAACCCAGGCACTCCAATACGAGGTGCAAGTGTCTCACTCAGCATCCAAATCACTTCATCATACACCCGTCCCTTCCCATCACAGCTCACATCTCTGTCCTACAGCTGAGCGACAAGTTGAATGGGGGGAAGAATACACCCAAAGTACTTGGATGAATTTCTTTTCCAAGGTTTAGAGTGTATGTAGGCTCAAGTATGACAAATGTGAGGAAAAACCTCTCTGCCACTTACTAATTTTATGATGTCATGCAAGCTAGTTCACTGCTGTGCCTCAATTTTTTTCTTTGCAAATTGGGGGGCACGGAAAGGTTAATTATATAATTCATAGGAAATGCTAAGCACACTCAATAAATGTTAGCTTCACCGAGGAAACAGACAGTGGTAGGTGTTTGGCCTAGCAGCTGACTGGTTAAGGTGCCCATGTTCCACATCAGGGTACCCAGTGTGATTCTCACCTCCGGCTCCTGACTCCACCTTCCTGCTAATGCAGACCCTATGGGACAGTGGTGATGACTCAAGTCACTGAGTTCTTGCTGCCCACATGGGAGATATAGATTGAATTCCCAGCTCCTGTCCAGCCTAGCCCCAGCAGATGGGATCTCTCTTTCTCTCTCTTTCTCCTCTCTCTCTCTCCCTCTCCCTTCCCCTCTCTCTTTAAATAGGATTTTTATTTATTTATTTTTTTAATTTTGACAGGCAGAGTGGACAGTGAGAGAGAGAGACAGAGAAAGGTCGTCCTTTTTTTTTTTTTTTTTTTTTGACAGGCAGAGTGGACAGTGAGAGAGAGAGACAGAGAGAAAGGTCTTCCTTTGCCGTTGGTTCACCCTCCAATGGCCGCCGCGGCCGGCACACTGCGGCCGGCGCACCGCGCCTATCCGAAGGCAGGAACCAGGTGCTTCTCCTGGTCTCCCATGGGGTGCAGGGCCCAACCACTTGGGCCATACTCCACTGCACTCCCTGGCCACAGCAGAGAGCTGGCCTGGAAGAGAGGCAACCGGGACCGAATCCGGCGCCCTGACTGGGACTAGAACTCGGTGTGCCGGCGCCGCAGACGAAGGATTACCCTATTGAGCCATGGCGCCAGCCTAAATAGGATTTTTAAAACATTATTTATTTATTTTAATTTTTATTTTTGATAGGCAGAGTGGACAGTGAGAGAGAGAGATAGAGAGAAAGGTCTTCCTTTGCCGTTGGTTCACCCTCCAATGGCCGCCGCGGCCGGCGCACCGCGCTGATCCGATGGCAGGAGCCAGGAGCCAGGTGCTTTTCCTGGTCTCCCATGGGGTGCAGGGCCCAAGCACTTGGGCCATCCTCCACTGCACTTCCTGGCCACAACAGCGAGCTGGCCTGGAAGAGGGGCAACCGGGACAGAATCCAGCGCCCCGACTGGGACTAGAACCCGGTGTGTCAGCGCCGCAAGGCGGAGGATTAGCCTAGTGAGCCGTGGCGCCGGCCTTTATTTGTTTATTTGAAAAGCAGAGAGGCAGAATCAGAGAAAGAAAGAGAGAAGTCTTATGTCTGAGAGAAGCCTTCCATCCACTGGTTCACTCCCCAAATGGCTGCAACAGCCAGAGCTGCACCGATCCGAAGCCAAGAGCTAGGAACTTCTGCCGGGTCTCCCATGCGGGTGCAGGGGCCCAAGGACTTGGGCCATCTTCCACTGCTTCCCTAGGCCATAGCAGAGAGCTGGGTTGGAAGAGGAGTAACCAGCACTTGAACTGGCACCCATATGGGATGCCAGCACTGCAGGAGGTTGGCTTTACTTGCTATGCCACAGTGCCGGACTCCTGTCTCTTAAATCAAAAAAGTAAAAATAAAGGAACCATACATATGGGGACTAAAGCCAATTGGCCTCATTTATTTTTCTTTCTTTATAATTTTTCTGTGTTTAAAAAAAAAGGATTTATCGGGACTAGCCCTGTGGCTTAGTAGGTTGGGCCTCTACCTGCAGTGCCAGCATCCCATATGGGTGCTGTCTTGAGTCCCAGCTGCTCTGCTTCTGATCCAGCTCCCTGCTAACGCACCTGGGAAAGCAGTGGAGGATGGCCCATGTGCTCAGATCCCTGCACCTGTGTGGGAGATCCAGAAGAAGCTCCTGGCTCCTAGCTTTGGATCATTCAGCTCCAGCCATTGTGGCCACTTGGGGAGTGAACCAGTGGATGGAAGCTGTCTTTCTCTGTAACTCTTTCAAATAAATAAATGAATCTTTAAAAAAGAGAGATTTATTTATTTGAAAGGCAGAATTATAGAGAGAGAGGCAGAGACAGACAGAGTGAACCATCTGCTGGTTCACTCCTCAAATGCCTGCAACAGCCATGCCACTAGTGGCCAGGACTGGCACCCAAATGGGAAGCTATGCCAAAGCACTGGCCCATTCTTTTATCATTCTATGTTCCAAGTCCCCCATCATGGCCTGCTTAATTATGTTTTAAGGCTTTTTTTTTTAGGCCTTCTTGGTATCTTGTATCACCATGTTTCTCACAGGTTTTGAAGAATGGCCTTTCAGACAGCAGAGAACACAGTGGACTAATAATTGGCA